AGTAAACAAAATAGAATAACTATTTCTATAAAAATTAATACTTTAAAGCTTATAGCATTACTAAAATGAACAATCTTTTTTTTTGCTCTGAAGTGATCTTCTTTGACTCCATAAAATGAACAGTCTGTAAAATATTATCAGGTGATTTGACATGAAAGAAGCTAAACATCATAATTGAGTAGTATTACATGGAATAAGTTGATATATAAGTAACCTTTTATCTTTGGACTTTATTTCTTTCAAGACTAGTTATTTCTCAATATATACATTGAAAATTTTTCTTAAATGCCAATATTTTTAATAGCTGTTTTATTGAGAAATAATTCACATACCATAAAATTCACCCATTTAAATTGTGCTGTTCTGCAGTTTTTAGCATATTCACAAAGTAGCAACCATCACTACTATGTAATCCCAGAACATTTTCTTCATCCCAAAATAGAAACTTTATACCTTTTAGCAGTCTTCCCATTCTATCCTCCCCCCACAGCCACACACAGCTCTGGGTAACCACTAATACTCTCTCTATAGATTTGTCTATTTTGAACATTTTTTATGTAGAGATCACATAATATGTGGTTGTTACTTGCATCATCTTTCTCTTAGCATAATGTTTTCAAGGCTTATCCGTGTTATGGCATGTGTCAGTACTTTATTACTTTTTGATGCTGAAAATTATTCCATATGTGAATATATCACATTTTATTTATCCATTTATGAGTTGATGGACATTTGGGTTGTTTCTACTTTTTGGCTGTTATGAATAATCCTGCTGTGAACATTTTGTTGGCAAGTTTTTGTGTGGGTTTATGTTTTCATTTCTCTTCAGTAGAATTGCTGGGTCAAAACTCCGTGTTTAACTTTTGAGAAACTGCCAAACTGTTTTCCAAAGTAACTGCACCATTTTACAATCCAATGAGGATTCTCATTTCTCCACATCCTTGGTAATAAGTTTTGGCAAAGATGTGGAAAAATTGCAACCCTCATTGGATTGGTTATAACCATCCTAGTGGCTGTGAAATGTTACCTTGTCGTTTTGATTTTCATTTTCCTAATGGATAGTGATGTTAAGCATCTTTTCATGTGTTTATTGGCCATTTGTTTATCTTCTTTGGATAAATATCTTTTTAAAATCTTTGCCTATTTTTCATTTGGTTATTTGTTGTTTTATTGTTGAGTTTTAAGAATTTATTACATATTCTTGGTATGAACCCCTTATCAGATATATGGTTTACAAACATTGACTCTCATTCTTTTCACTTCTTGATGATACGGTAACCTTTAGAGCCCAAAAGTTGTTAATTTTGATGAAGTCCAAATTATCTGTTATTTTGTTTGTTGCTTGTATCTTTTATATCGTATCTAAAAATTTATTTAATCATGAAGATTTATTCCTGTATTCTAAGAGTTTTATAGTTTTAGCACTTACATTTTATGTCTGTAATCCATTTTGAGTTAGTTGTAGTGTAAGGTATAAGGAAGGGATCCAACTTTGTTCTTCTGCATGTAGGTATGTCTAGTTGTTGCAGCACCATTTGTTGAAAATATTATTATTTTCCCATTAGAATGTCATGGTAAATTGTTGAGGTTTATTTAGGTAAAATACACATAATATAAAATCAACTGTTTTAAAGTGTATAATTCAGTGGCATTTAGTACATGTACAGTATTGTGCAGCCCCCACTTCTATCTAGTTCTAACTTTGTGAAGTACTAGACATTTTCATCATCCCAAAAGAAAATCTTACACTCATTAAGCAGTTATTCCCCATTTTCCCCTCCCCTCAGCCCCTGACAACAACCATCTGCTTTCTGTCTCTATGGATTTACCTATTCTGGATATTTCATATAAATAGAATTGTATAATATATGATCTTTCTATCTGATTTATTTCACTTAGGCAAATTTTCAGATTTCGTTCACATTGTAGCATGTTTCAGTACTTCATTTTTATGGCTAAATAATATCTAATTTTATAGATACACCATATTTTGTTTATTCATTTATCTGTTGAATATTTGGAGACTTTTGACCTGATATATAGCATTCTGCTTTAGTTTAAAATTCACAAATGAACAAAAATGAAGGGTCATTACTTTTCATTCTTTATTAAGAGGAAAGATATATGTGCAAAATTGTTGTACTTATCACGAAGAAGACACTTAGTAAATATTAGTGTCTTCTACCTATTATGTATTTAATGAGTGTCTTCATATCCACTGTCTCATTTAAACCTTATAAGAATATTAAGGGCAGGCACGGTGGCTTACGAATGTAATCCCTGCACTTTGGGAGGCCAAGTAGTGTGGATCATGAGGTCAGGAGTTCGAGACCAGCCTGACCAACATGGTGAAACCCCATCTCTACTAAAAAAAATACAAAAATTAGCCAGGCATGGAGGTGTGCACCTGTAATCCCAGCTACTCAGGAGGCTAAGGGAGGAGAATCGCTTGAACCCAGGAGGTGGAGGTTGCAGTGAGCTGAGATTGCACCACTTCACTTCCCTTGGCCACAGAACGAGATTCCGTCTCAAAAAAAAATTGTTAGCATTTTGCATAAGAGAATATTGATGATCGTAACTTATTCAAAGCTGTATAGCAAGTTACCTTCACTTATTCTCAGGAGAAAAAAACCACGAAGTTAATATACCAAGTAAATGATGGAGCTGATATAACTGCAGCCTTTGCCTCCAAATTGTGTTCTTTCCTGACAATAAAGTGTTCTTACACAAAAAACATTAGCTATTATGCCCTGAGTCAGTATACCTAATTCTCATGTTTATCCAAAATTATTCAATGAAAGATAATTATGCATATCTGTTTTTTTCTATCACGATTGAAAATTAACCTAAATGTAGTTTAAACACCAGTTATAATATTGGTAAGAGCAAGGGATAACCTCTGTAGTACAGAATTTTGTCTTACTGTGAAACAGGCCAAAATCTCTAACATAATAGAGGGATCATGCACTTTTTTTTTTATTCATCATAATATACTCTAGCATATGTACCTAGGATAATTGTAGATCTCAATAAAATATTTGTTGAATGAAATATATTGCATGTTCTATTCATGTGACCTGTGACCAGATTTCATCATAAATTGCCACTGAACTCTCAAATCTTACAGGTTTTGAATGAACACACATAGTAAAAATTCTTATAGTCCAGTGTTGGGTACTGGCCCCAACCCTGTTCATGGGTGCCCCGAGTCCCATTGTTGATGAGGGATTGAGAAAGGAAATAAAGACAAAGACACAGAAATAGAGTTAAAGTGTGGGTCCAGGGGACCAATGTAAAGTGCGAGGATCACGCTGCCTCTGAGTTCTGGTTTCCACGGGTTTTTTGTTTTTGTTTTTTTAAATTTCTTTTTTTTTTTTTTCTTTTCCCATTTATTTATTTTATTGCATTTTAGGTTTTGGGGTACATGTGAAGAACATGCAAGATTGTTGCATAGGTACACAGGTGGCAGTGAGATTTGCTGCCTTCCTCCCCATCACCTACATCTGGCATCTCTCCCCTTGCTATCTCTCCCCAGCTCCACACCCCTCACCATCCCTCCCCTATTTCCCCTCAACTGACCCCAGTGTGTAGTGCTCCCCTCCCTGTACACATCCACGGGTTTTTATTAGGTGCACACACTCATTAATTGAGGGGTGGAAAGCAGTGGGGGTTTTATCAGGGAGGCCTTGAAACTATTGTGGGGCAAGATAGCTAGGGAGAAGCATTCATGATTAGAATACAATGAAACAGGTGGTTCTTCTAAGAGAATCTAATCTAGTACACCAAGTTTACCACTGATCATTATCGATATGCAGCTGCATCAGAACACAGGAGGTAGGGTGCCACCAGGTCTGACCACACACAATGCATCAAAGAGCTTTTATCTCCCGAGCACTGTGGACATAAGGCAACCAAAATTACCCTATATTCTGAGAACATAGGGTATGTTCACCTGGAAGGCCTTGCTGCCTTGCCAGCTCCCATCTGCAAAGACCCTCCCAGATCTTGTGAGCAGAGATCACCAACCTTTCCCAGGTGCTTACACAAGCCCTCTTTACGAGACTCCTGTGCAGACCCCATGTTGGAAAGGAGTTCGTGGAACCAAGGCAGTGTTTTCCTGCCTTGCAACCACATCGCGGATGTACCACGGTTAATGGGGCGCTCTCAGATGGTCTAACTTTAGGTCTCCCATTACTGCTTTTGCTCATGCTTTTACAAGCTACAAGCTGTTCTTTTTTGTGCTGTGCTTTTCATTCACTATTGTTTATCTCAGGGTAAAACTTCAGTGTACCGCAAACTCTATAAGCTAATAAGCAAATCAAACATATTTGTTTAATCAGTAGTAGTAGAGACAGCATATGTCTGCCCCTGGTCATCTGGGTCCACAGTCCAACATATATATGAATTAGCATGCCTTTCATTTATATTACCTTTTTAACTATGGCAGGCATTATTTAATTTCTATTCTGCAGATATATAAACTGAAACACAGAAAAGCTTTGCAGCATGCCAGAGAGCAGCCTAAGCCACAGACTCCTCATTAATAAGTGTCTCAAACAGCTGTACTATGATATAAATATGAGTCATTAGGATTTAATTACCTTAAAATACCCTAATTACTGATAAAATGTATTTAGTAGTATGAGATTTGGTAGATGTAATCCTTAAGATGTGACAATATTAACATTTCTGTCAACCTAAAATTTTTATTTACGTGTTTGACTACTTTTAAAAGTTTAATATCCGTTCTTCTCTAAGATGCCTTACGTGTTTAACTGAATTTTATCCCACTCATCAGCTTCATAGTCTCCCCACTCTCGTCTTCTATTCTCAGAAATTCATTGGTTTTTAAAATGTCTTTAGACATCAATCATTTTACTTTTTTACTAGAATCAGGAATTTTTCTAGTTCAGCAAAAACATCTTTTTCAAAATTGCCAAAGGCTGCTTTCAGATACTTTGTCATTTTAAACCTAGTAGATATTTTGTTTTTTCTTGTAGGTGTTGACAGCTCTTCTACCACAAGCAGTGCTTCTCCAATGCCTAACAGTTATGATGCCTTGGAAGGAGGCAGTTACCCAGGTAATTTGTTGTTTTGTTCTTGCTTGATCTTCATTTTAAAAGTTATTAACCATCAGTTCCCTTCAAATGTGAACATGTATTATACATAATAGCAGGTTATATTTTTAACAGAAATAAAGGACATTTTTCTGGCATTTCTCAGCCTCAGCTTCCCTAGTGTTGTCACTACCATGAAGGTTGTTTCTGAGGTCATTATTTTTTGTTGTTACCATACTCTTTTTATCTTTTTCTAAAAGATTTTCAATAGTTTTTCTCTTCTTTCTCCTTCTTTTTAAAGAATAACTATAATCCTTGCATAAATTTTATATTTCTATTCTCATGCTTAGGGCTTTGAATTCTTTTTAGCCAGTCTCTGAGTATAGTTTTTGACTCTTTGCTCCCTCAAAGGCTTCTGGCCACCCTCAGTGGGTAAATAGATGCTACCCCCAACTTGGGGGTAGGTTTTAGAGACATCACTTTTAACCATATCTGGAAATCACTTTAGTCATTACATGCAAGTACAGGAGTGGGTAGTATTTTTTTAAAAAACTATCATTTCATTTTAGTATCTTACCCTGTGATTTTTCTTGTTCTCTTGTCTCCTATCACTGACAACCTGACAACTGTACCTGACCTCTCTCTTTTTCTAGGGATTCCAAACCTTAACAGAAAAAGCAGTTTTGCCTTTCTCTTTATTTATCTCTTTGTTGATGATGCAGGGTTAAGCTTAATTGAAGTTGGAATGTTCTATACTTAAAAATACCATACTATCTTGCTATCGCTATTCTATGAATCAGTAGAAAACTTTATCTTTTCAGCTCAGTATGGAATTCCTTTGTAATATTTTAAGAATACTTGAATGAACGACTCTGTTTTTTGTAATTAAGGATTTTTGCCCCTAGGAAATGTACAAGAGAAAGAGCGAGAGAAAAAGTGTGTGTGTTTGCATGTGTGTGTGTGAGTGTGTGTGTGTGAAGTTGTAAACCATTCAAAAAACAATCTCTTGTCAAGATATTCTAGAAGAGTTGCTTCATTCACTAAAAGATAAACAACCATATAGTACCTCATGAGCTCTAAATTAATGTGAAGTGAAACGTTTAGCGTAGGATAGTTGAAAGATTCTGGCTCCTACAGTCAGACTTTGGTTTCTTTGTATTCATTCGGTCAACATATTCTAATCTTATAATGAACTGTGTGTTGAGAGTATTTCAATAGACGTGGACAAGTTTTCTACCTATTTATACTGCACCAAAATTAAAGAAGTATGTGAGCATCCGTAGCGGTAATGTTAAATGATTTGTAGGTCTGCTATAGGTCAAGTACTAGGGTAGATCTCTAGAAATGTAAGAATTATTATCCTTTCCTGAAGAAGATAAGAAGATTTAGACCTTCATGTTTATAACTCCAATTTTATTATCTCTCTCTCTCTCTTTTTTTTTTTTTTTTTTGAGACGGAGTTTCGCTCTTGTTACCCAGGCTGGAGTGCAATGGCACGATCTCGGCTCACCGCAACCTCCGCCTCCTGGGTTCAGGCAATTCTCCTGCCTCAGCCTCCTGAGTAGCTGGGATTACAGGCACACGCCACCATGCCCAGCTAATTTTTTGTAGTTTTAGTAGAGACGGGGTTTCACCGTGTTGACCAGGATGGTCTCGATCTCTTGACCTCGTGATCCACCCACCTCGACCTCCCAAAGTGCTGGGATTACAGGCGTGAGCCACCGCGCCCGGCATCTCTCTCTCTCTCTTTCTTTTTTTTTGAGACAAGGCCTTACTCTACTACTCAGGCTGGAGTACAGTGGCATGATCATGGTTCACTGCAGCCTGGAACTCCTGGGCTCACATCCTGTCTCCGCAGCCTCCCAAGTAGCTGGGACTACAGGTGCATAGCACCATACCCAGCTTTTTTTTTCCTCTACATATAGACAGGGTTTCACTTTGTTGTCCAGGCTGGTATCAAATACCTGGCTTCAAATAGTCCTTCCACCTCAGCCTCCCGAAGTATTGGGATAATAGGTGTGAGCCATTGCACCCAGCCCTAATTTTTTTTATTTCTTATACTGATAACTTGTCACGTTAAGAGAAGTTCTGCCCATGTTTCCATCACCATGAGGAGAGACAAGCAAGAGATCTAAGGATTATGACACCGCATTGAAGGTCTTACCCTCTTAAGAAGTCAGGGAGGTTACCAGAAAGCCAGTAAGTGATCCTTGCCTAATCAGCACAAGATGATAGCAGAATAACCAGGAGTGTATCTTCAGAATTAGAGCCAATAAGGAGATATGATTCCTTAAGAAAAAAAAAAAAAAGATTGATTCAGTTAAATGTTTCTAAGAATATATGTGTGTGTGTATATATATATATATTATTAGGAGAGAGAGTGAATGTAGACAATATATTTTTGCAGAATCCAAATGCTGGTAAAGAATATGAACTAAAATGAATGCACATTGTAGAGTTCACATCAAAATGGGACTAAACAGTCAGGATACCAAATTGTTAATAATGCTTATGTGCAGTTTAAAGTAACTTTTAGAGTTTCTTTCTGTTATTATTGTTTTTGTACATGATATTTAAGTTTTCTACAGTTTTTTTTGTCTTAATTCACTTTTTGTTTTAAATTTAAATAAGGACATTTGAAATTTAAGGACATTCATTCATTAAATGCATTTTATTTGACATTACATGCTAAACATTGTTCTAGGTGTGGGACGCTATTCTAGATACTATCTTTCATACTTTCCTCAGAGTTTTGCCACTGCAAATAATGCAAATTTTAGGGGATTATGGAAACATACTCCTTCCATAGAGTTAGTTTTAATATTGATGGTAGGGTCAGATAAAGCAAATTAGAGAAAAGAGTAAGTGGCACCTCTTTTATTGCTTGCTTTGTTTTGTGCTTCTTAGTTTCTCCTGAGAGAATTTTTTAAAACTGTATTAACTCTGTGTGTGTGTGTGTGTGTGTGTGTGTGTGATATATATATATTGCTCTTACCTGTTAGAATTACCAGCTCAAGGGGCTCATGCCTGTATTCTCAGCACTTTGGGAGGCCAAGGTATAAGAATCTCTTGAGCACAGGAGTTCAAGACCAGCCTAGGCAGCATGGGGAGACCCCATTTCTATTTGAAAAATGGAAATACTAGCCAGGCATGGTGGCTCACGCCTGTAATCCCAGCACTTTGGGAAGCTGAGGCAAGCGGATCACGAGGTTAGGAGTTGGAAAACAGCCTGACCAACATAGTGAAACCCCGTTTCTAAAAACAAAATAAACTGGGTGTGGTGGTGCATGCCTATAATCCCAGCTACTCAGGAGGCTGAGACAGGAGAATCGCTTGAACCCGGGAGGTAGAGATTGCAACGAGCCTTGATCTCGCCACTGCACTCCAGCTTGGGCGACAGAGTGACACTCAATCTCACACAAAAAAAATAAAAAAAATAAAAAATAAATACCAACTAAAGTTGGTGAAATGATGTAAAATTTGGGGTGGAGTTTTCTCATAAATACTCCTGCAAAAAAGGAAAAAAAAAAAAAAGATGTAGTAGGACAACATGTAAAACAAGATTAGCAAAATATGGATAATTATTGAAGCTTAGTGATAGGTGTTTGAGGTTCATTATTCTCCCTACTTTGTGTGTGTTCAAAATTTCTTAGAATAAAAAGCTTTAAAAAGCAAAAGGGAAATGCCAAGGGTTATAGACTGGATCGTAAGTCCAGTCTTGGTGGAATCTTGATTTTTAGTTGTTAACATCAGGTGTTTCTATTTTTTTAGATATGCTTTCTTCATCAGCAAGCAGTCCTGCTCCTGATCCTGCCCATGAACCTGATCCTGCTCCTGCTCCTGCTCCAGCTTCAGCTCCAGCTCCTGCCCTTCCTCAGCCTTCGAAAATGGCTAAGCCTTTTGGCTATGGCTATCCAGCGCTTCAGCCTGGTTATCAGAATGCTACAGCACCACTTACTTCTGGAATACAGCCCAGTAACCCAGTATATTCTGGATTCCAGCAGTATCCTCAAGTATGTATTTAGTCATATACACACATTGTAACAGCTATAAAACTTAATTCTGACAAATTCCTGGTGGGGTTTGTACCTTTGATTCAAATGGATCTTAGTGACAAATACAGATCAGCCTAGGTCAACCATACATAGAATTTGATCTCAGGTTTTTTGTGTGTATATATTTAGAAAAAGATTAAATGAAATATACATATCACATTTTTAAAGAGGTTAAATCTAGCTCAAGATATTAGCTATGATTTTTTTCTTCATTGTGTCTTTTTCAGTCTACAATTGCAGATATTAATTTTATAATCAGAAAATTTAAGTAAACATGTTTTTTTTTAATTTTCTATTATTAAACTAGCATTCTCTTTGGAAAATGACATGGTAAAATGTGATTTGGTCTCTGTTCTTCATTTGAAGAACTTTATGACACATAACTGACCTTGATGAGAGCCTCCAGATACATAAATATGCTCATCAGTTCACATGCTCGTTTACTGCTGAAGTGGCTACGATTGTCTGGGTATAAACCTGGGGTTTGTCATCCTGCAGCCAGGAAAATTTAGGACACTTATACACATGAGTTTAGGGGTGGAAGCTTAATAGGCAGAAGAGAAGAGAAAGAGAAACAGCTTTCTCCATAGAAATGGAGACGTCTCCCAGCGGAAAAGACCGGCTGGTGGTTGATGCACCGGATTTTATAGTCTATCTTGAGGAGCCGGTGTCTTTTTTTTTTTTTTTTTTTGAGACGGAGTCTCCCTCTGTCCCCAGGCTGCAGTGCAGTGGCACGATCGCGGCTCACTGCAACCTCTCCCCCCGGGTTCAAGCAATTCTTCTGCCTCAGCCTCCCAAGTAGCTGGGATTACAGATGTGCACCACCACACCCAGCTAATTTTTGTATTTTTAGTAGAGACGGGGTTTCACCATGTTGGCCAGGATGGGACCCATCTCTTGACCTCGTGATCTGCTGCCTCAGCCTCCCAAAGTGCCAGTGTCTTATTTACATAGGGCTCACAGATTGGTTCAATCAGATGTGATGTTTACATGAGGCATTGAGGAAAAGGCTGGTCACCCCGCCCTAGTCTTATTATGCAAATGAATTATCCTTGGCCAGCACCATCTTTTCTGCTCCTTACTGTACACGTGGCAGGCAGAGAAGGGATGATGGAGCCGCCATCTTGAACACGTCTGGTCCCTAGTTCCTGCCAGGATTCCCTCATGCAGGCTCACAGCTTGCTTGTCTATGTCTGCAGCTGGACTTTACAGGCTGCTCTTTGTAGGAAAATAATTTGGGGCTGCTTTTCATTAAAAAGAGAAGCCTTACTGAGGACTCACATACCCTCACTATCTGCCTAAGTGATTTCTTCTTAACTCCTATATCCCTGCCTCTAGGACCCATTCTGACATGACCTTTTCTGGAGCCACCTCATAAACATAGCAGTATAACAAATGATACGATATTTATACAGTGAAATACTTAACAGGACAGTATTTCACATCTGTATTTCTTGAGAAGATAAAATATAGGGCAACTTTTCTTTTTTTTTTTTTTGAGATGGAGTCTCACTCTGTCGCCCAGGCTGGAGTGCAGTGGCACAATCTCAGCTCACTGCAACCTCCGCCTCCTGGGTTTAGGTGATTCCTGGCCTCAGCCTTCAGAGTAGCCAGGATTATAGGCACCCACCACCACGCCTGGCTACTTTTTGTATTTTTAGTAGAGATGGGGTTTTGGCCAGGCTGGTCTCTAATTCCTGACCTCAAGTGATCTGCTTGCCTTGGCCTCCCAAAATGCTGGGATTACAGGCATGAGCCAATGTGCCCGGAAGGGAAACAGTTTTAATGACAAAAGCATTGCTACTTATAGAAAACTGTTCTTAGTTGACTAACCTTATAGAAATTTTATAGTGAAGAAAGAATGAAAATTAGAAATAGGATAATCAGTGAGGAGCAGTGGCTCACTCATGTAGTTCCAACTACTCAAGACTAAGGTAGAAGTATTTGGTTGGGGTGGGCAGGGGAGAAAAAGGAAAATTATTTGTTTCTGGAATTTAACTTTAGAATTAAAGTACATAGGAAAAAGGGAGGAGGAAAGCAGAGAGACATTAGAGGAATATGGGTGGTTAGTACAGATTCTCTGTCTCTCATTTTGCTAGATTTTCTTTATGGCTCTGTTGTGCCATGTGAAACAATTTTTAAGTCTGTCTTGTCAGACTCTTGTACTTTTAGGCAAATTCCTATTTGGGTTGTAACATATTATTTACTTATAATTTTAATGACAAGAAAACCAGGTTCAAAGAAAGGATTGATTCTTGGAAGTGTTGAGCAAAGAGAAAAAAAGTTATTTTGAAATAGTAAGTGGTCTTACATAATGACTTAGGACAATAGTCCACGAACCATGGACCTCTGGCCAAATCTGGCCCACTGCCTGTTTATAATAAAGTTTTATTGGAATACAGCCATGCCCATTCTTTTATGTTATTTTCTATTACTGTTTTTGCACTACAGTGATACAGTTTAGTAGTTGCAAAAGAGATCATGTAGCTCTCAAAGCTTTAAAATATTGACGGTCTGATTCTCCACAGAAAAACTTTGCTGACCCCTGACATAGGCGTGTAGGAAGTATTTTTGATTTCATATTTTATGTGGGAGGTTATTTTATAAAAGTCAAGAAATTATCTTTGGAATAAGAGTAAAAATGAATGTTCTACCAGAATTAAAATATACAACATCATTCTATTCTGTAATCACAATTCTTTTTATGTTCTGGGTCTAGTACATGTGTCAGAAAAGTTTGGATAAAGGGGACAAAGATACACTAAAACGTTTTCTGGGTTATTAATCACACTTATGTGAACATCAAAAAGCCAAAATATTTAGAAATAGACTGTTAAGAGAGCAACCATTCCCACCTTTTTTTTTTTTTTTTTTTTGAATATAATTGGAAGCATAGCATATGTACTCATGTCTGGATTCTTTTGCTCAACATTATGCTTATTGTGTGATTGTAATTCACTTGTTTTCATTGTTATGTGGTACTCAATCATGTGAATAGACCAGTTTGTTTATTTGTTCTATTGTTGATGGGCATTGGTGTAACTTTCCAGTGTGGGGCTATTATGAATGATGCTATTGTCAACATTTCTGTCCCTGTCTTTTAGTGAGTGTATATAGGAATGGAATTGCTGGGCCATTGGGTATTCATTTTTCAATTTTAGCAGTTAAAACTAGACAGTTTGCCAAAGTGATATTCTGATTTATACCTCATTAGCAGTGTGTGTGAGTTCAGTTGCTTCACATTCTTGTCAACACTTGGAATTTTGACTTTTTTAATATTAAATAGTCATCTTCCTTCATTTTGTGAGGAAATAGAAACTCAAATAAGTGAATCACCTGTCCAGTACCAGGCTTGGTTCTAAGAATGCAAAAGACCTTGCAATTCAGAATTAAGCACTTTTTTCTTTTTAACTGGAAAAGACTTGCACAGTCCGATTTGATCTATGGATCTTTTCAAGGAAGATTACGAGCAGCTATTTATTTTTGTCTGATCTGAATTTAAAATAGTTTTTTGGACACTACTGTTTTAGGGTCGGTGAACAGTAATGATTTAGGTATACAGCTAGGACCTACATTTAAATTCTTACCTATTTACTAAAAAAAGATTATAAATTTAAACCTAAGATTAACACTATCAGACTTTTTTAAAAGAAGCCTTTTTGTTTGTTTGTTTGTTTGTTTGAGATGGAGTCTTGCTCTGTCGCCCAGGCTGGAGTGCAGTGGCGTGATCTCGGCTTACTGCATCCTCCAGGTTCAAGTGATTCTCCTGCCTCACCTGAGTAGCTGGGACTACAGGCGCGTGCCACCACGCTCGGCTAATTTTTTGTAGTTTTAGTAGAGACAGGGTTTCACTGTGTTAGCCAGGATTGTCTCCAACTCCTGACCTCGTGATCTGCCTGCCTCAGCCTCCTAAACTCTTGGGATTACAGGCGTGAGCCACCATGCCCAGACCATTTATTTTTGAAGTTCTGTGTAGGGTAATAATATCCCATCTTAGCTTTACACTGTCTTCTATAATAAAGTTGAAATGCCTTTAAATGTTATACTTAATGTAGTGCAATGAAAGGGCTTTGTGTAAGGGCTTTTCTTTGTATTAATTAATTTGAGATGACTTTTATTAAGTAGTGGGAAACCCTAACGGTTGTTTTTTGTTTTGTTTTGTTTTGTTTTTTTTTTCATTTAAAATTTATTTATTCACCTAATACACTTAAACAGTTGGGTTTTGAAGGAAAAAAAAAAACTTAAAATTTGTTTTTTAGGGTTGAAAACCAGGAAAAAGGCTGATGTTTAAAAACAAAAATAAAAATTACAAAAATATTTTCAGTGAATATATGCAAAACCAGATATAGATACTGTATGGCTTTTTTAAATTACAAATTTAGTGAGATCAATTAGGGAAAATGCAGATAAACAAAAGGAAAAAACATTAATAAATATTAACCATAATTCTACCAAGCTGTAAACAGCAATAGTTGGGATCTGTCCTTCCAGGTTTCTTTCAACACACCTGTAATCCTAGCAATTTGAGAGACCGAGACGGCAGATCACAAGGTCAAGAGATTGGAACCATCCTGGTCAACATGGTGAAACCCCGTCTCTACTAAAAATACAGAAATTAGCTGGGCATGGTGGGGCTTTCCTGTAGTCCCAGCTACTCAGGAGGCTGAGGAAGGAGAATTACTTGAACCTGAGAAGCAGAGGTTGCAGTGAGCCAAGATCATGCCACTGCACTGCTGCCTGGTGACAGAGTGAGGCTCCGTCTCAAAAAAAAAAAAAAAAAGAATGTCTCTTTGGAAAATTTTTAAATTTATTTAACAGTATAAGAAGAAACCTTTATTATTTTTATATATCTTTCATCATTTTGGTACTTGTATATTTTATAATGAGTCTCCCATTTATGGGGCATAACTCAGTGTCAAAATCAGCATCCTTTTAAGCTTGGTGTACTTCTGTGATCCCAGTTAAGACAGGAGAATCACTGGAGCTGAGGAGTTTGAGACCAACCTGAACAACATTGTAAGAACCTGTGACAAAAGAAAACAAATCCTTGCATGTGTACACATGCACACATGTAAACATATACACACATGCACACACACTTCATTATATACATACAGTTATGTGCTGCATAATGACATTTTAGTTAATGACAGACCACATGCATGACGGTGGTCCCATAAGATTATAATGGAGCTGGAAAATCCCTGTCACCTATAGACTTTGTAGCTGTGGTAATGTTGTAGCACAGTGCATTACTCTTGTGTTTGTGGTGATGCTCTTGTAAACAAACCTGCACCTCCAGTCATATAAAAGTGTAGCACATACAGTTATACACAGTACATAATACTTGATAATGAAAATAAATGACTACTGATTTATGTATTTATACTGTAATTTTTATCATTATTTTAGAGTGTACTCCTACTTATGAAAAATAAAAGTGAACTGTAAAACAACCTCACATAGGTCCTCCAGGAAGTATCCAGAAGAAGGCATTGTTATCACAGGAGATGATAGCTCCTTACATGTTATTGCACTTTAAGACCTTCCAGTGGGACAAGATGTGGAGGTGGAAGACAGTGATATTGATGATCTTGATCCTGTGTAGGACTAAGCAAATATGTGTGTTTGTGTGTATTCATTTTCAGCAAAAAGTTTTAAAATACAAAATATTTAAAATAGAAAAAAGCTTATAGAATAAAGCCATAAAAGGAAGAAATTTTTTTGTACAGCTGTACAATGTGTGTTTTACACTGTTTTTGTAAAAGTCAAAAAGTTACTTAGATTGGTGCAAAAGTAATTGCAGTTCTTGCCATTGAAAGTTGTGACAGGTCAGGCACAGTGGCTCACGCCTGTAATTCCAGCACTTTGGGAGGCCAAGGTGGGCGGATCACCTGAGGTCAGGAGTTCTACCAGCCTGGCCAACATGGTGAAACCCCGTCTCTACTAAAAATACAAAAAATTAGCTGGGCGTGGTGGTGGGTGCCTGTAATCCCAGCTAGTCAGGAAACTGAGGCAGGAGAATCTCTTGAACCCAGGAGCCGGAGGTTGCAGTGAGCCAAAATCGCACCATTGCACACCAACCTGGGCAACAAGAGCAAGACTCCGTCTTAAAAAAAAATAATAATAACAAAACCCGCAATTACTTTTGCACCAACCTATAAAGAAATTAGTTTATAAAGTAAAGAAGTTACAGTAAACTAATGTATTGCAGAAGAAAGAAAAACTTTTTTCCCTCAGAGTCTCATTCTGTTGCCCAGATTGGAGCACAGTGGCACAATCTTGACTCTCACTGCAACTTCCACCTCCCAAGTTCAAGTGATTCTTGTGCCTTGGCCTCTGAAGTGGCTGGGAGATCACAGGCACCTGCCGCCATCACACCCAGCTAATTTCTGAATTTTTAGTAGAGACAGGGTTTCACCATGTTGTCCAGGCTGGTCTCAAACTCCTGACCTCAAGTGATCCACCTGCCTAGGTCTCCCAAATTGCTGGGATTACAGACATGAGCCACTATGTCTGGCCAAAAACTGTATTTTTATAGGTTTGATAGAGCCTAAATGTGCAGAGTTTATAAAGTCTACAGTATATTAGTGTCCTGGGCCTTCACCTTCACTCAACACTCACTCACTGACTCACCCAGAGCAACTTCCAGTCCTTTAAGCTCCATTCATACTAAATGCCCTATGGAAGTGTACCATTTTGTATCTCTTTACTGTATTGTTCTTGTATTTTTTTTATGTTTAGATATACAAATATCATTGTATGCAGTTGCCTACAATATTCAACAGTAACATGATGCATGGTTTGTTAGCCTAGGACCAACAGGCTATATATCATATAGCCCAGGTGTACACTCTTTGATATTTGCACAAGGATGAAATCACCTAACGACGTGTTTCTCAGTACATGTCCTCGTCATTAAGCAACGTGACTACACACACACATTTATGCATTTGTATTACTATTTCCTTAAATGAAATTTCTACAAGTGGAATTACAGAATCAAAGCATTTCTTCCTTTCTTTCTTTTTTTTTTTTTTTTTGGTTTTTTTGTTTTTTTTTTGAGGTGGAGTGTCTGTTGCCCAAGCTGGAGTGCAGTGGTGGGCAACCTCTGCCTCCCAGGTTCAAGTGATTCTCCTGTCTTAGCCTCCCAAGTAACTGGGATTACAGGTGCATGCCACCATGTCTGACTTAATTTTGGTGTTTTTAATAGAGAAGGGGTTTCACCATATTGGCCAGGCTGGTCTCGAACTCCTGACCTCAAACGATCCACCTGCCTTGGCCTCCCAAAGTACTGGGATTACAGGCGTGAGCCACCATGTCTGGCCATCATTTAATTATTTAAGACTTTAGAATTTCTCTGTACTCAATAGAAGGTTATTTCTACTCTGTGGCAGAACTATTTTAGGCACTGAGAGTACGAGAGGAGGCTCAGTGAAAAAACAGAGTTCCTGTTCTTAAGAAGGTTGGTAGGAAGTCAGCATTAATAAGACAATAAATAAGTAAATATATACAGAGCTAATTTCAAGTAGTTGCAAGTGCTATGAAGTAAGACGATTTGAAGTAATTTCCGGGGTGGAAATGTGGTGTAGGAGGTCAGACAAGCAGTCTTCATTGTAGAAATTATGTTTGAGTTAACATTTGGAAGAAGAAAAAGCATGGAAGGATCTGTGGTTAAAGTATTTCAGGCTGAGTAAACTGATAATGCAAAGACTTAAGGCAGGAACAAGTTTGACGTGTTTGAGGAATGAAGTCCCAGTGTTGCAGTAATTCAGCATGGGAAGAGTAATAGGGATGCGATCAGAAAGCTAAAGGATCACAGTCAGAAGCTTAGATTTTACCCAAAGTACAAAATAGAGGTATCAGAGATTTTATGTAATAGAATGACATCTAATTTACATATTTAGAAAATCGTTTGGCTGCTATGTGAGGAATGGATTAGAGATGGGAGTCTTTGAAAAGACAAGATGGAAGCAGGGAGACAAATTGAAGTTTTGCCCTAATTTAGGAAATTGCTTCTACTTTAATACATGTATTTTCCATCTTTACCTGTTGCAAGTATCTGGAAGTAATAACAACACTAGCGATAAGCACTTTTATCATCCAGATAATGGTTTTTAGATATCATCTGTACTTAAAAGGAGCCAAGATTCCTTTTTAGACAAACAGTTCTAGGTTTGAAGAAAAAGAGTATAAAATATTGTGTAAGAAAGCAAGGAAGCTAACAAAGACTAGTTAGGTTCATATAAAAGGACACTGGGGCCATCTTGAAAGGGCTTTCACTGGCCAAAGATTGGGTAGTTTGAACATCATAAGAATAATGACTGTAATTCATTACATCAATTTGAGTTAACAAAAAGCCATGAATTCCTGATAATACTAAAAATATAGTAAATAGAAAAAAATAAGGCAAAACCTATTGAACACCATTGTACATTTCTATGGCACCAACTCATTGTGAAAGTTGATAATTGGCGGGGGTGGGGGGACCTTGAGAACAGTGGGGTATTTATCCTCTTTTTCTAGTGTAAACTGTATTTGGGGAAACCAAATTGCTAATGTCGAAAAGGATTGTTGCTGAAATTTCATTGCGAGGGTTAACCTTGCTAATAAGATTCAAATTTATTCAGTACTTTCGCTTTGAGTTTTTTTCAAGTGTGCTTTAGATTGACTGCATGTAAAGTCATTCTATTACCAAGCCAGATTTAAATTTTCTTACCTTTTTGCTTTTTCTGTATGTTGAGATATGTAGTATATAAGAAAATGTATTTATGTTTTATTGTTCTTTTGTATTGTTTTGAATTGCTCTTTCAGCACTATCCTGGTGTGAACCAGCTGTCCTCCAGTCTAGGAGGATTGAGTCTTCAGAGTTCTCCACAACCAGAAAGCCTGAGACCTGTAAACCTCACTCAGGAGAGGAATGTTTTACCCATGACTCCTGTTTGGGCTCCTGTACCTAACTTGAATGCAGATCTCAAAAAATTGAACTGTAGCCCAGAGTAGGTATTTATTTGTTTTTTAATCTTTCTTAAGTGATGAAAACACTGTATGACTTTCAAAAATGGTGAAAGTGGTATGCTATTTCTTTGGTTGGAAGTTTTGTTAATGTTGATTTTTCTGTTTTAGTTTGTATAGAAGTTTTAGATGTAAAATTTTATTTCGGTCATCTGTTTTTGTTCCCATCTCAGTCTTTTTTTTTTTGAGTCGGAGTTTCGCTCTTGTTACCCAGGCTGGAGTGCAATGGCGCAATCTCGGCTCACCGCAACCTCCGCCTCCTGGGTTCAGGCAATTCTCCTGCCTCAGCCTCCTGAGTAGCTGGGATTACAGGCACGCGCCACCAAGCCCAGCTAATGTTTTTGTATTTTTAGTAGAGACGGGGTTTCACCATGTTGACCAGGATGGTCTCGATCTCTTGACCTCGTGATCCACCTGCCTCGGCCTCCCAAAGTGCTGGGATTACAGGCGTGAGCCACCACACCCGGCCCCCATCTCAGTCTTAATCCAGTCCCATCCCCTTATCACCTAATGTTAGGGAAATTATTTCTATTTGAATGAAGGGTTTCAGGAACCCAAATGTAACTATATTTTTTATTTCTTAAATCTTTTTCCCCACTTTTCAATATTAGTAACTTCTGATATCTTAAATAAGGTTGAATCTTTAAAATTTTAGGCTTTGCTTGAAAAGAACATAGACCTCACTTACGTAATCTCAGGAACAGGTTTAGACAAATGGTTTATCTCAGAATTTTCTTTTCCCACTCAATACAGAGTATGAAGACCATTGACTCCCAGCCTTATTAATCTAGTCTGAATCTAGACTGGATTTTCTTTAATGGCAGACTGCACTGGCAGCCACCAAGCCCTGGTGTACCTTTGTGTGGATGAGGTCTGTTACTCACTTCACAATGCTTCATGTTCTTTGTTCTTGCAAGCTTTTAGTATTTCTGTGAATAGGATTTTCCCCTGGTCCTAGATTTTTTTTTTTTTTTTTTTTAGAAGACATGTTCTTGCTCCTGGAATTTTTCCTCCTCATAAAGTAAACTCTGATTCACAGAACAACATTGTCTTTTTTTTTTAATGAGATTTCTGTTGCCCAGGCTGGAGTGCAGTGGCCTGATCTCGGCTGACTACATCCTTTGCCTCCTGAGTTCTAGTGATTCTCGTACCTCAGCCACTGAATAGCTCAGATTACAGGTGTGCACCATGACACCTGGCTAATTTTTGTATTTTTAGTAGAGATGGGGTTTCACCATGTTGGCCAGACTATTCTCAAACTCTTGACCTCAAGTGACCTGCCCGCCTCATTCTCCCTAAGTGCTGGGATTAGAGGTGTAAGCCACCACACTTAGCCAGCCTTGTCTTCCTTGCATTAGGAGAATTAGTATTTTTCAGAGCCAATATTCCCCTTTTCTTAAAGCAGTAGTTTTCCAGCTTTTAAAAAATACTGCAACTACTCTTTCAACCAAAATATTATATAGAATTCCAATACAGAAAATAGGAAGTGGAACCACTTTGAGAATTTCCCCTCTTCTTCCACTGTTCTCTACCACAACACACCATCAGTGCCTCAGTTAGTGCCAAGATCATTTCCATAAAAGTATAGAGAATCATGGATTATAGGTTGAAAACAGCTGCCCAACCTTTGAATATAAATTGTTACCAGGTTAAGTTTGTAAATTATGACCTTGTAATATAAATGGTTAGGTAGCCCCTACGTAAGCAAATGTAGTGTATAGGCCATACACAGTAGCACATGCCTATAATCCCAGCACTTTGAGAAGCCAAGGCAGGCGGATTGCTTGAGCCTAGGAGTTCGTGACCAGCCTAGACAACATGGTGAAACCCCGTTTTACCAAAAAACAAAAAAGTTAGCTGAACATACTGGCATGCATCTGTGGTCCCAGCTACTCAGGAGGCTGGGGTGGGAGGATCCCTTGAGCCCAGGAGGTGGAAGTTGCAGTGTGTTGAGATTATACCACTGTACTCCAGCTTGGGTGGCAGAGCAGGACCCTGTCTCAAAAAAGTAATTTTTTTTTTTTTTTTTTTTTTTTTTTTTTGAGATGGAGTTTTGCTCTTGTTACCCAGGCTGGAGTGGAATGGTGCGATCTCAGCTCACCGCAACGTCCGCCTCCCGGGTTCAGGCAATTCTCCTGCCTCAGCCTCCTGAGTAGCTGGGATTACAGGCACGCGCCACCATGCCCAGCTAATTTTTTGTATTTTTAGTAGAGACGGGGTTTCACCATGTTGACCAGGATGGTCTCGATCTCTTGACCTCGTGATCCACCCACCTCGGCCTCCCAAAGTGCTGGGATTACAGGCGTGAGCCACCGCGCCCAGCAATAAAGTAATTTTTTAAAAAAATATAGCATATGTATAAGAGAACCCATAAGTAAGGGGAAGGCATAGTTTTTTCTACCCAGTTATATGTTTTTTTGCAAAAATATATCTTTTATCAAAATAACAAAAAGATAATTAGGAGCATAGACTTTAGAGTTGAGCAGACCTAAGTTCTTTCTATGGTTCTAATGATAAGTAGCTATAAAATTTTGCCATTTACTTAACCTCTCAAAGTCTCAGTTTGTTTGTAAAACAGGAATAATAATAGTATCAACATACTAAGATAAATCATTAATTCAATAAATATCAAATGCCTTCTAAGTTAAATGCAAAACACTGTTTTCCATCTGCTGGGGATAAAGTTGTAAACAAAACAAAGTTTCTGGTCTCTATGGAATCACAGAACTTATATTCTTTGAACAGCCAAAGTAGTAAATATATAATGTAATGTTCAGGGTATTACAATGAAGAAAAATAGAATAGGGAGTGTGGGTGGAGGTGACTCTTTTAAATTGAGGAGTCTAGACAGGTTTACCCAAAGACTTTTAACATTTGAATAGAGATCTGGGTGAAGTGAGAGAGTAAGCCTAGTGACTTCTCTGGGAAAAAAGGGTTCCAAACTGTATGAATAGCAAATGTGGAGGTCCTGAAGCAGGAACAAGCTTTTTGTGTTCAAGGAACAACACTAAGCCTGCAATAAATAGATATCTCTATATCTCTACATGATATTAATGAAACTCTTCTTAAAATTTCTTGCCTGGCTTTCAGTACTTCTGCTTTTTACTTCTTTGGCCTCTCCTTTTTTCATTCTTTGTTTATTGACCTTAAAACTTCATAAGTTATAAGCACCTACTCAATGAGGGAAACTGGGCTCGGGTGATACAAAGACAAAATGCTCTCTGATCTCAAGTGGTGAAGACAGACAAGATAAACAACCAATTAAATTAAATCAGACTAATTGATATCATATAGAAGTACAAACATAGAGCACTGAGAAAGAAGTCATTCCTTCTGACTTGGGGAATTGGGGGTGAGGGTGGTTATAAGCAATAACCTTGATGAGTCTTATAGTAAGAGTTGGAGTTCGACAGGTGCAAAGGGGGCAGTAAAGCAGTAACAGAATAATTGAAAACAAAGAAATAATGCCTTTTCACTCTGTTTTCTATGTGCTCCTATTCATGTCCTCCAGGCTAGTCATAATGGAGTAATTGGTCTCCCCTGAATGTGTACTACTTTTCTACCATGAAAGTGTTGACTTTTCAACTTAAATTTTTGGCATATATTACATACATGCCTAGTTAATCAGGACCTTCTTGCTTATAGTTATAATTACATGCTCAAATGATTTTCACTTATGTCCCCTAAATGCTCTTAATTATCTTGCCTACTTCAGTGTATTTTTCTCTGATAGCTAATATACTCCATGTTGTTTATGTTTTTTGCAGTTCATTTCGATGTACTTTGACAAATATTCCACAGACACAGGCTTTACTGAATAAAGCTAAGCTTCCTTTAGGATTGTTGTTACATCCGTTCAGAGACCTAACGGTAAAGTAACATTTTAAAGTATTTATGGGTACTGACATTTATGTGCATGTACAAGGTACTTAAATTTTATATTTTCTTAGAATTTTCTTTGTCTTCTTTTATTTGAAGTTAGAAATAATCATTTCTGTAACATTCAACTTGGCAAACATTTTCTGAGCACCTGCTTTGTGACAAGCTCTAAGCACTGGTAGTACAAAGATGATCAAGTCATTGAAGTTGCCATCAAAAAGTTCTCATCTAATGGGACAAAGATGTAAAAACAATAATTAACAGTGCAGAAGAATTAATACATGTAATTAATCAAATTCTTTGAGCTACTTAGGTAGAGAGTACAGTAGCAAAAGTTTTCTGTAAGTGATGAAGTCTGACCTGGATTTTGAAAGATCAGTAGCTTTGGAAGGTGGAATGGCCATGGAAGGTAGATACACTTTCGGAGTTCTTTATTAAACACAAAGGAAACACCAACAATGATGTCTACTTAGACTGGAAAGCTGTCTGATTTTTTCTTAACAAATTAAACAGATTTTTAATTAAAGTTTTAAGAGTTTTAAATGTTTAAAGTTTTAAGAGTTTAAAATTTTTAAAACTTTAAAAATAATTTAATTCACAGCTTCTGTTTTTACTTCTTAAGTTGTGTTTCTCTCTCAAACTTTTTACTACTGTTGTTTACTATCCTTCTTACTGGTGCTGAGTTTTCTTTTGCTCTTATTCATCCAAGAAATATTAATTGACTACCTGTCAAGCTGGATGCTGGAAATACAAAGCTTGAAAGCTTCATTGTGAAGCTTACTTTACTACTAGGAAGTCTAGAAAAGATCAAAATGAGTAGAAAATAAAAAATTATAATATGTAATAAATACCGTGAATTTATTCATTCAGTAAATATTTTTAATCACCTATAATACTCTTAAAACCTTATCTCTAAACCAAGACAGTTAATTTCCTATATACATAGGTAAGAGTTTTTCTCTAAATACAGATACCATACATGATACTTTCTCGAAGTGTGTATACTAAATTGTTTACAGTGACATCCTCCAGGATGTAGAATTCTGTAATTTTTTATGTTTTCACTCTCAGTTATATTTCCTGATTTTTTTTTTTACAACAGATATGTGGTTACTTGTGTAATAATAATAATATGTGAAAAAATTAAATACAAAGATCATAAATGTTCATGTGCAGATATTTAAAAAAACAATGAAATATACTAAAATGAAGCAGGTTAATTTAGGGACATAGAATAATATGTGATCTCTTAATCTTTTTTCATATTTTCCAACTTTTCTTCTTGAATGTAAAATTCCTTTCCCAAACCAAGCATAGAGATGCATTTTTTAAAGGCACATTGTGTTTGGCTGCTGCTAGCCTCAGCTCCCATCAGAAGTTGCTGTAGCCGTCTAATGAGCAGTGCCTAATAATGTATTACCAGGTGCAGTCAACAAAGACAGAGGCATTTATATGTGGTATATGTTTCTCTCTCAGTTATTTCTAAAGTTCAGCTGATAAAATCTAGCTTACATTATTTTCTTGGCCAATATTTGGTATGACTTTATTTTAATGTTACGATTTGTGACAAGAGGGAGAAAACTTGATGGCTGCATGTGTTGCTCAGCACGTCCCTGGATTTTATTAATATGCTTCCATATAAAACCACATAAAAACAGTTAAGGTTTTTGTTCTGTATATGGAGCAGAGCATGATACGTTCTGTTTTTCCTTGGGGTGCCTTTTTCTGCTACAACTTCTTTATTTTATTTCCTAGCAATTACCAGTGATAACATCAAATACCATTGTGAGGTGCCGATCTTGTCGAACATATATTAACCCCTTTGTATCCTTCATTGATCAACGTAGATGGAAATGCAATTTGTGCTATAGAGTTAATGATGGTGAGTTTCTAGGTTCTTAAAATAAATGTCTTTTAATCCTATTTTCAATGTTTTTTGACATTTTTGTCATTTCCTGGTTTTTCTCTTGATTTCTTCAAAAAGAATTTTTATGCCATCTTTAGCCAAAGGAATATAAGCTAAGGCTAGGACTAGGCTAAGGCTTCATTTTGGCTGACCAAGGGAATAATTGACAATGAGGAGCGTAACAGTGAGGACAAAGTAAAAAAAAAAAAAAGTCCAAAACAGTGACACTCATGCAGGTGAGCTTATGCAGACTAATTATGTTTGCCCCCGGCAATAAGATTGTATTACATTTGTATATTTGGTTAATTCAACTCAGGTAGAATTTTGCCAGTTTGTCTGGATGCATGCACATATATGTGTCAGTCTCTTGTTCCCTTTATTCATTTCTTAGGTTCCCCTACTAGAGTTGCTTTCAAATTTATGTTTCTCTGATTTTTTTTTCATGTCATTGATAAAATAAATAGGACACAAGTCTAAGAAGGAAGGTTACTTGCATCCTGGTTTTCTCACCTGATTTGAGAACATAAGTTTTTTTTAATACTTGTGATCTTTTTTTTTTTTTAATTTTATTATTATTATTTTTTTTGAGACAGGGTCTTGCTGTCATGCAGGCTAGAGTTCAGTTGTGCAATATGGCTCACTGCAATCTCTGCTTTCCAGGTTCAAGCTCTTCTCATCCCTCAGCCACCCGAGTAGCTGAGACTACAGGCTTGCACCACTATGCCTGGTTAATTTTTGTATTTTTCATAGAGACGTGGTCTCGCCGTGTTGGCCAGGCTAGTCTCGATCTCCTGGGCTCAAGAGATTCATCTGCCTTGACCTATTTTTTAAGGAGGGCTTAAGGGATTGATTTTTACCATTTAATGTTCACAGAACTATTGCTAAACCTCATGTAAATATTGATAATAGATGTTTATTTTTAGGTGTGTATATATGTGTTAAGTTACAAATTGTGTCTTAAATTTGTACTGGGACCTCTTATCTAGTTCCTGAAGAATTTATGTATAACCCCCTAACCCGATCTTATGGAGAGCCTCATAAACGACCAGAAGTTCAGAATTCAACTGTGGAGTTCATTGCTTCTTCAGATTACATGGTAACTATTCAGTGTTAAAATTTGTTGTGAAACACAATTATATTGGTCATTTGTAATTTTCTGTTAAGTGAATTCTTATCAAGATTTTGAAGTTGCTTATACTTATAATTTTTAAAAACAAATTAATGCTAAAAGTTTATATTTAACAAATAGAAAACTCTTTCTAAAGGTTATTTGATCTCCTAGAAGGCTTTCTATGAATAATAAATATTAGTTTTGTCTGTCTTATGAGCACTAGCATCTATGATTTGTGGCCATTTTGATTTGATTACTTGCATGGAGTAGATATAGATACCCTTCTACCATTTAACATTTAAGACTCTCAAAATAGAGAAATGCACATTTTTGCCTGAAACTTAAGTTTTCAGGATCTTAAAGATATCTCTGTTTTACTGGTTTACCAAGTACAGATATCAAGATAAGTGGATATGGACTTCTCTAATTTTTCCTTCTGTTTCAGTTAGAAAATTCTATTTTTTAATTATATGAAATCTAAGATCTCATTCTTCTTTTCACTTCAGAAACTAATTATTGGCCCTAAGTTCTGCTCATCATCTTTATTGTATCTTCTCATTTTTACCATATTTATAAAAACTATCAGCTGGGTGTGGTGGCTCACACCTGTAATCCTAGCAATTTGCGAGGCTGAAGTGAGTGTATCATCTGAGGTCAGGAATTCCAGACCAGCCTGGCCAACATGGTGAAACCCTGTCTCTACTTAAAATGCAAAAATTAGCTGGGCGTGGTGGCACATATCTGTAATCCCAGCTACTAGAGAGGCTAAGGCAGGAAAATCGCTTGAACATGGGAGGCGGAGGTTGCAGTGAGCCAAGATTACCCCACAGCAACCAGCCTGGGCAACAGGGCGAGACTCAGTCTCAAAAAAAAAAAGAAAAAGAAAACAACAACAAAAAAACAAAACAAAAAACTGTATCTGCTGTCGCCTCACAAAATTTGAAACTGCTGCTAGTGAAAATGATAAAAAGGAGAAACTGACGTGAATTAAATATTTGGCACCTGGTTCATCTTTATTTTTGTAATTTTTATGTTCTTTTGTGTCTAATTTGGCATATGCCCACCTAACTACCATTTTCATGTTTGTTTTTATATTAACTGTAATAAACTTTCTCTTGGTCACTTTTACTCTCAGGCTTTACCTTCTTTATAATTCATTCCCAACTCCATTCTGGGTCCTTAGGAATCTTAATCTAATTGAAGTGGTAAAGCAAGAAATAATCTTTTAAGTTTTTCCATATGATTCATATGGCCCTTGCTTAGCATATTTTTTAAAAGATTTTATATATTCATTTATTTTTACTTATTTATTTGTTTAATTTTTACTTGAGACAGACTTTTACTCTGTCACCCAAGCTAGAGACAGGGTTTTACCATGTTGCCCAGGCTGGCATCAAACTCCTGGACTCTAGCAGTCCACCTACCTTGGCTTCCGAAAGTGCTGGGATTATAGGCATGAGCCACTGCACCTGGCCTATTTCAACTTTATATAACAGCAGTTTTCAAGCATACTCCAAAGAAAACAGTGTAATGAACCATCCTTTGCCCGTCACCAAGCTTCAATAATTATCAACATAAGGACTTTTTTAAAAAATGTATTTACAGACCAGGCATGGTGGCTCACATCTGTAATCCCAGCACTTTGCAGGGCTGAGGTAGGTGGATCACCTGACATCAAGAGTTCACAAGCAGCCTGGCCAACATAGTGAAACCTCCCCCGCCCCTGTCTCTACTAAAAGTGCAAAAATTAGCCATGCATGGTGGTGTGTGCCTATAGTCCCAGCTACTCAGGAGGCTGAGGCAGGAGAATGGCTTAAATCTGGGAGGCAGAGATTGCAGTGAGCTGAGATCACGCCACTGCACTCCAGCCTGGATAACAGTGAGACTCTTCTCAAAAAAAAAAAAAAGTATTTACAGTATCATCACAAGGACTCTTTTTACACGTAGCACTTAATCATTAGGATTCAGTCACCTTCAGATAACCCAGTAGCTAGTACTAACGTTAAGTTGTTGGGATGAAAATTTGTTTTTAGGAAAAGGGAAGGGATGTACATCTAGAGAGCTTAGTATTAAATCATAACCCTAATTTTTAAAAAACGAACTCTTAGCCAGTACTCCTTACCAGAAAAACATTTAACCCATCTCTTTAACTGTGGCTGTGTATCAGCTGCCTTGTCATGCTTAATCCACAACCAACTGAAAAGAAAAGAAAAGCATATCATTTTCATGAGCACATATTACAAAACAGCAATCCTATTTGTGTATTTTTTGTTTAATATATTCAGTAAATGCCCAGCAGTAATAATGATATATAAAAAGAATAAATTGTACCTACCAAATGAATTGCTATATTTTTATTCTTTTCAGCTGCGTCCTCCTCAACCTGCAGTTTACTTGTTTGTTTTAGATGTGTCTCATAATGCAGTGGAAGCTGGATATTTGACAATTTTGTGCCAGTCACTCTTAGAAAATCTAGACAAGTAAGAATATTTTCAATTCATACTATATGTGTGTGTGCATATATATATAAATGTATATAAATGTGAAGTGTTAGCAGTTTGTGGGGTTGGTTTTTATTAAGTTTGGTTATATTTCTCTGTCAGCTAAAAAGAGTACTACTTATGTACCATAGAATAATCTGACTTATAAAATCATAAATGTCTAATATTTAGTCTGGAATTTAGATCTCATCTCAGTGTCTGACTTAGCTAATCTGAACACAAGGGCCAGTAAACTTGAGTTAGCCAGGATATCGGGAATCTGGATGAGACTATCAAAAAGACAAAAGATAACATGTTGGTGAGGATATGGAAAAAAGGGAAACTGCGTACTTTGGGGAATGTAAATTAGTACAGCTATTATGGAAAACAGTATAGAGGTCCCTCAGAAAATTAAAAACAATTATCATATGATCCAGCAAACCCACTACTTGAAATATATCCAAAGAAAATAAAATCGGTGTGCAGAAGATACATCTGCACTCTCATGTTTATTGCAGCATGATTCACAAGAGCCAAGATACATAATCAAACTAAGTATCCATCAGCAGATGGATGTATAAAGAAACTGTGGTATATGTACACAGTGGAATACTATTCAGCCTTTACAAAGAAGAAAATTTTTCTCATTTGTGATACCATGGGCAAACCTGGAGGTCATCCCATTAAGCGAAATAAGAACAAATATTGTGTGTTCTCAATGAAAACGAAACTAAAAAGGTAACTCTCATAAAAGTCAAGAGTACAGTGGTTGTTACCAGGAATTGGGGTGATGCTCGTGGGGTGGGAGGTTCCGAGAGATGCTAGTCAAAGGGTAAAAGATAGGAGGAATGAGTTCAAGAGATCTGTTGTACAACTTGGTGTCTATAGTTAATGGCAATATATTGTATTCTTGGAAAAATGCAAGAGATTAGAATTGTTGTGTTCTCACTACAAAAATAATTACTTTGTGAGGCAATGCCTATGTTCATAGCTAGATTTAGCCATTCTACAGTGTGTGTGTATGTATATATATATATTTCAAAACACCATGTTGTACATGACAGATACACACATTTTTTTCTGTCAGTTTAAATAAAATTTAAAAAGATGAAAAGGATTTTTTTTAAAAAAGAATCTGGATGAGAGAAATCTGGCTGTAATTTATACCTGAGCAAGGAATTTTTTCACAAACTTGTTTTAATTGCACTGATGACAGAATGAGCTGGCTAAAGGGAAGGAGGGAACTGATTTTGTGCTAAATATGTTAGGAAGCCAGAAACTGAGCATTTTGTTTATTTATTTATTTTTTGAGATAGAGTCTCACTCTGTCGCCCAGGCTGGAGTGCAGTGGCATGATCTCAACTCACTGCAACCTCTGCCTTGGGGTTCAAGCAGTTCTTTTGCCTCAGCCGCCCAAGCAGCTCGGATTACAGGTGCCCACCACCACACCTGGCTAAGAAATTGAGCATTTTGGCACATTAATAATGAGCCAGATTATGGAAATGGAAATAGCAAGTATAGGATGTATGGCTCATACCTGGCTCTAATTCCCTCCTCTTTGTCTACCAAGATTGGCCATGAAGGAACCCCTCATCTAGCTTTAAAAATGAACCTTCCAAATCTCTGGAAAATACAGTTGTTTCCACATTTCTGTTTTGCTCTTAACACCCACAAGCGATATGACTTAAGATTGTTAGAAAGAGTGGTTCACCATTGCAGCGGTTCCTAATGTGTGGAAGTGTGGGGGTTGTTATATGTGAATACTTTGTCCCAAGAACTTTGGTGATTCCAAAAGGTTCTCCTCTGTCTTCCATTTGAGCTTGAAGAGTCCTTGCCCTGTTGAGTACTACTTCTAGTCACCATAGTCTGCATATCACTGATCTTGGCCTCAAAGGAAACTGACAACATTAAGATGTTTAAGATTTTAAAAATCCAGAGATATTGAGAGGTTTGCTTTTACTGTTTGTTACTAAGCGTTTTCATGTTTTTTTTGTATTTGAGACAGAGTTTTGCTCTTGTTGCCCAGGCTGGAGTGCAATAGCGCAATCTCAGCTCATCGCAACCTCCGCCTCCCGGGTTCAAGTGGTTCTCCTGCCTCAGCCTACCAAGTAGCTGGAATTACAGGCATGCGCCACCACGCCCGGCTAATTTTGTATTTTTGTTAGAGATGGGGTTTCTCCATGTTGGTCAGGCTAGTCTCAAACTCCTGACCTCAGATGATCTGCCTCCCAAAGTGCTGGGATTAACAGGCGTGAGCCACCACGCCTGGCCAGAGTTTTCATGTGTTAATACTTGGTTGAAGTATTTGCCCCTGCTTTACTCACAAGTGCTTACTTCAAAAATAGCTTTAACAGTGAGTGGCAATGGAAGACTAGTCTACAGAGATGATTGGTTGGGTTGTTGTTGGTTTATTGTTGATATTTTTGTCTTTTTTTTTTTTTTTTTTTTTTTTTTTAAGATGGAGTCTTGCTTTGCCACCAGGCTGGAGTGCAGTGACATGATCTCAGCTCACTTCCACCTCCTCCTCCCAGGTTCAAGCGATTCTTCTGCCTCAGCCTTCCGAGTAGCTGGGACTGCAGGAGTGCACCACCATGCCCAGCTAATTTTTGTATTTTTAGTAGAGATGGGGTTTCACCATGTTGGCCAGGATGGTCTCAATCTCTTGACCTTGTGATCCGCCCACCTCGGCCTCCCAAAGTGCTGGGATTACAAGTGTGAGCTACATTGCCCAGTTTTTTTTTTTTTTTTTGAGACAGAGGCTTGCTCTGTTTCCCAGGCTGCAGTGCAGTGGTGTGATCTCTGCCCACTGCAGCCTTAACTTCCCAAGCTCAAGTGATCCTTTCACCTCAGCCTCCTGAGTAGCTGGGACTACAGGTGCACAGCATCACACCCAGTTAATTTTTGTATTTTTGGTAGAGACGGGGGCTTGCCATGTTTCCCAGGCTGATCTCGAACTCCTGAGCTCAAGTTGTCCACCCAGCCTGACTTCCCAAAGTGCTGGGATTACAAGTGTGAGCCACTGCACCTGGTCTGTTTTCGTCTTTAAATACCAAGTTTTAATCCCCCAAGGGGGTACACCATTCTTGGAAGTACTACAATACCAGGTTGATGTATGGAGTGGATGGAGCAAGCTCCTATTCCGTCACTCTGCTCCAGAAATCCGTTTAATCTATTAGCCTTGTAATGAAAAGTGTGATATAGGAGCCACACTGACAGGGGTGATTGACAACTTGTAAATTAAATAGATTTTGCAAAAGCAAAAGTGTAAAACTGGGAATGGAAAATGTTTTAAAAATATTTCTATTTGATTACAGTGGAAAATAAAAGCACTCGGAAAGTAAAAGAAAAAAGTGATAGAATAGCAACAAATATATTAATATGTTTTTGGAAAGGGCTCTAGAAACTTCTTTGAGAAAGAAGAGTTTGATGTTGGAGCAGTTTCAGCTCAACTCTATATATTTTTAGCTTGGGGTAGGTCAGTAGTCTCCTCTAACCAGTAAGAAATGACCCGACCCCTCAGTGGTCTTAGAAGTCTCACAGTAGTGAAGATTAGTCTGTGGAAACATCATAAATATTGCCCATATTGGTAAGCTGAACATCCCCATAACTTGTTGCATTCTGTTTTCTGAAAATGCTCTTGACCTACCTTGCAGACTGAATGTGAATTACCTGGTCAATCATCCAATGCTTCTTGCTTTGTTGCATGTTCTATTTTGGCATCCTTTAATATCCAACAGTATTTTAAAGGCATTGCTAAAACAATAAATTACTTAGTTGGTGGTACTGAGTAATATACTTATGTAAGATGAAGCATCTATCTTATTAATAAAGAAAGCTTGACAGGCAATGAAATGGTAATTTATTCTTTTATACTGTGGCATAGACTTGAAAACTGAGCGCTAACAACATTTTTAAAGATTAATAAAAATGTTTCAGTGTTCATAAATGGGTTTTGTTTAAAATTTTACACACTGAAATCTGATTTGTAGTTATATTCAGTCCTTTCTTGGAAAGTACTTATTTGTCATTCTGCCCTTAAAATGCTTAAGCAAGATATACTGTTGTTCTAATATTGGAACTGGAAATAGGAGTAAGTTTTCACTTTGGTCATCTTCTCTGATATATATTTGTTTAGATAGGGATAATTTTTCTGTCCCCTGTAAAGAAGCATATGTGTAATTATCCTTAGACTTAAATTACTATTTCATTATTTTCTGAAATATGTTACTGAGCACTTTGAATTTAAAATTGTCATTTTTTTTTTTTTTAGGCTTCCTGGAGATTCACGAACAAGAATAGGATTCATGACCTTTGATAGCACTATTCATTTCTACAATTTACAAGAAGGATTATCACAGCCTCAAATGTTGATTGTGTCTGATATAGATGGTAAGCAGTCAGTAAAATAAAAGTCTTTCTAACTACAGACTGAAATGGGGGCTACTCTATTTGCTATATGCTGTGAGGATAATGTCAGACACTTTAGTATTTTTTCAAAATAATTGTTTTTCTGGAAATACTTAATTCTAAGTTATTTGCACCTGTGTTGTATTACACACACATATGTATAATATTTACAGAGTATGTGTGTTTAATAAAGCAATATTATGGTACACATTATGTGTATGACCTGATAAAAACTAAGATTTTCCCAAAAAGAAAAAAAAAAAAAACAAGATTTTCAATGTATTCTTTTGACTTGATTTGTTGATTAAAATATATTTTTTCCCTATAGATGTTTTTCTGCCTACACCGGATAGTTTACTTGTGAATCTGTATGAAAGTAAAGAGGTAAGATTGACTTACTTTCTTAAAGCATAAAAATATTTATATTTCGACCGGTAACTAAAATGTTTAACATTTGTTTACTTGCTATATTAATATTACAAATAATAGACAATGTAAGTGGCATATCTATTGACCCCTCAGTTTCAGTCCCCAGAAATACAGTGACACATGATATACTATGGAATGTTTTAAAAGATTATTCCTTTGCCTTCTCAGTAACTCAGCTTTTGATCTTTGTTTTCCCAGCTTATAAAAGACTTATTGAATGCATTACCAAATATGTTCACCAATACAAGAGAAACACACAGTGCCCTTGGTCCTGCGCTTCAGGCTGCCTTTAAATTAATGTCTCCAACAGGTGGCCGTGTGTCTGTATTTCAAACACAATTACCTTCCTTGGGTGCAGGACTTCTGCAATCCAGAGAAGATCCTAATCAGAGATCGAGTACAAAGGTATTTTATATTTAGTTTTTTGTCATATTCAAGATTGTGTAATTATTTGTCTTTTTTTTTTAACTTTTCTACTTCATTAATAATAAACTAACAAGAGAGTTTTTAGCTCACAGTATGTTTTTGGTTTTGTGTTACAGTATGTTCTTTTTATTACTTTGTAAGTCATAGAAATTTAGAAATCGTTTAGTCTAACCGTTTCATTTTATAGATGAGGAAGTAGAGTATCTAAAGGTTAAATAACTATTTAATGGTAAAAATGTGACTTGATTTTCTGACTCCAGTGTTCTTTTCTATTACACAAGTGGTAAAATTTAGTAAATATGAGCTATTGTAATTCAACATGCACATACTAATAAATTTTGTGATTATAAAGATAACAGATCATTGTATATAACACTTGGAAAGTGGAGAAAATCATAAATCATTAGTAATCTAACAAGATAATAGCATTTAGTTATATAAACATACAAATAAGCATAATTGAGCATCATACATGCATATATATGTATATGTATTTTTAACTGGCCTTTTTCATTGGAGTATATTGCGAGCGTTCCCTGAAGTCACAGAGAAAGTAAATGTGAAAGTAATCAGTTAATTGATTGCTTTTCAGCTATTGAATAGTTTGTCTTCAGTATTTTTTTTTCTTTTGTTTTTTAAAAGTAGAGACAAGATCTTGCTGTGTTCCCTAGGCTGGCCTCAAACTGCTGAGATCAAGCAGTCCTCCTGCCTCAACCCTCCAGAGTGCTGTGATTACAGCTATGAGCCAGACCTGTATTTGCACTACTTTTTAAAAAGGGCTGGTGTGGTGGCATCTGCGTGCAACCTTAGCTACTCAAGAGGCTGAGGCTAGAGGATCATTTGAGCTTAGGAGTTCTAAACCAGCTTGGGCAATGTAACAAGACCCCATCTCAAAAAATAACAATAATGGCCAGGTGCAGTGGCTCACACCTGTAATCTCAGCACTTTGGGACGCCAAGGAGGGTGGATCACTTGAGTCTGGGAGTTTAAGAACAGCATGGCCAACATTGCAAAACCCTGTCTGTACTAAAAATACAAAAGTTAGCCGGGCGCAGTGGTGCATACCTGTAATCCCAGCTAATTAGGTGGCTGAGGCAGGAGATTCTCTTGAACCCAGGAGGTGGAGGTTGCAGTGAGCTGTGATCACTGACACTGCACTCCAGCCTGGGCAACAGAGTGAGAGTGTCTCAAAAATAATAATAATAATAATAATAAAATATTATTTATTTATTATACAAAGCTGAACATTACTTGGGTTTTATGTGAAGATTTGGTCAGGGCATTTTAAAGCCCGTATTTCAAACAAATGAACTAAAATACTCATTTTTCTTTTGTATATGTTTTGTCTGGCCTCAGTATTTATTTGAGAAAATGTCATAAGTAGTTATGAATATGAATTGAACAGTTTTAATAGTGTCATAAATCTTTAACCATATATCTAGTTTTGCCTTAGGATAAATACCTAAAAGTGAATTTATTCCTAGAATTGAAATATTTGGGTTAAAGGGCATAATCTTTATTTAAGTTATTAAATAAAGAATGTTTTGTTTATTGGGTTTTTTAAATCAAACTCTCTTCTTAAGGATTCTCATCCTGTAACCACCATTAGTGTTGCTTTTTTGTTCTTCACCAATATGCTAGAGAAAAAAGGCACCATATTTCACTGTTTATAGAAATTGTATTTTTAAATTACATTTGAGAAGGAAGCTAATTTTAAGATAAGTATATTGTTTAAACTCATCAACAAGTGTAGCTGGCATTTAGTTCATTGATACATTAAATTACTGCGGTGTTTTGAACACAGGAAGCTGTTATATATTTACTGAATCCTTTGATAGAGTTTCGTTTGTTTTTTTCTCATTTAACTTTCAAAAATATTCTTTATCTGTCTGGGACTCTAAAGTTTCGGTGTCTGTTCTGGTTTACATACTCCTTCGTATCTTTAATTCCTTATATTAGAGTAAGCTCTAATATAATCATCATGCAGTATAATTAAGAGGATTGAAACATTTTGTTAGGAAGTATAGCATGGTGATTAAGAATTTGGAGACACTCTCCCCAGTGTCACCGTCTCAGCTCAAGTCTTCTCATACCAAAAGAAACACCTTCCCTAATCTTTTACTCTCTTACGTTGTTATATAACAGTTTTTAATAATGGTTAATAGCACTCATTCTGCAGCCAGATTTCTTGGGTTTATATTCCAAGATTCACCTCTCAGTATCTATGTAATCTTGGTCAAGCCACTTAATCAGTTATTGCCTCAGTTTGTAATCTATAAAATGTAGATAAAAACCATGTGAGACTTGTGTTATGAAAATTAAATTATTTAATTTGTGTGAAACATAATTGTTCAATTTGTGTGAAACACCTTAAATAGTGCTGGCACATAAGTGTTTTTTATAAAGATTAGCTATCATTATTATCATAGGAAACCACCAAATGCGTAGACATTTTAAAAAACACCCGAGTTGATTGGGAGGCAGAGGACATCCTTTTTTTATTATAAAACATGAAAATATGAGCATAAAAATTTCTAGTTCTTACTTTATGATCTGTTGACTTAGGTGGTACAGCATCTTGGCCCTGCAACTGATTTTTATAAGAAACTTGCATTAGATTGCTCAGGACAGCAAACTGCAGTGGATTTGTTCCTTTTAAGTTCACAATATTCTGATCTTGCTTCTCTAGGTAAGGAGAGTCATCGTGTGTACATTTGTTTAAATAAACACATAATTAAATCTAAACTCCTCAGTAAATGTTCCAATATTTTAGGAAGAAAGGCATGTGCATTAGATAGATAATATCTATGAAGATTACCAGTAAACTTTAAAGCACTATACAAATATAAAATATCACTAGCATTTTGTTTATATATCATGGTTCTCTTACCATTCTGCTCAACAGTAAACTTTATCGTATATTTTATAGATGTTACTATTTTCTCAGATTTATATGTTCTTATTTTGATGCCTTAGGTTTTCTCATGACTTAGATTTCTTCATAATATATAATCTGTAGAATCTGTACTACTCTTGGACATGGAGAATATTATTTCTGTAGCTAATACCTTTTGTATTTTTCTCTAAAGCTTGTATGTCCAAGTATTCTGCAGGGTGCATCTATTATTATCCATCATTTCACTCTACTCACAATCCTTCACAAGCAGAAAAGTTACAAAAAGACCTAAAACGGTATCTCACAAGAAAAATTGGATTTGAAGCTGTTATGAGAATAAGGTGTACTAAAGGTATGAAGTTGTAAAGCATACTTTATATTAAATACTTGTATCAAAGTCAGTGAGCATTCCAAGTATTGACTACCTCTGACTGTTCATTTTGGAAGACTGTTTGATCTGGTTAGCCATACCATGTTTTAAATAGATATAGTTATTGAATAATCCTTGCCCAATATTTAAAAATAGCTTGAATAAGTAGACAAAAGTAATGTTTGGTTTACTCAGAAGAACCTAAGAGAAAGCCTACATTAGAAATGATTTTAGAAGGAAAATTAAGAGGAATAGGGAAGTCAAATTAAGGCTCTTTGCCTTCATGATCATTTAATGTATACTTCCTTGGTTTTATGTGAATACTTGTTTAATCCTTTATTTTACCTTTATATAACGTGCACTGGTTTTTTGAATTAATATTTTAGAAACTCTGCCAACACTTGAAACTTACTCCCCAGTTATCCTTTTGATTCAAAATCATGAACATCTTTGACTTTAAAAAGTAACTTTAGCTTGAGGTGAAGATACTATTGTTAACTTCATTTTTTATATCATTTTCCTCTTTTTAGGCCTTTCCATGCACACTTTTCATGGTAACTTCTTTGTCCGTTCTACTGATTTGTTATCCCTTGCCAACATCAATCCTGATGCTGGATTTGCGGTGCAGTTGTCAATTGAAGAAAGTTTAACAGACACTTCCTTAGTGTGTTTTCAAACAGCCCTGTTATATACATCAAGCAAAGGTAATGTTAACAGAAATGAAATAAAGCATGCAGCAGTAATTCTCCCCTCCTTTCACGTGGCCTTTAATGGAGTGGGGAAAAAGAATGAATACACAGTGGGAAGTAATGGAATTTGCATTAGTTAATCAAATATGTGTTGTTATTTTCTTTTTTTAACTCCTATTTTGAATCTGTAATATACTGTTTTTAATTTATGGAAGACTTATATTCATAGAATCTTGTTTCAAAACAATTAATGCCAAATCCTGCTGTGCCATTCTTTGTAATATTTCTTGCCCCATAAAGTAAAAAACTGCTTAGCAATTAAGGCCTTCATTTGTTATTTGACAATCTAAGTTTTCTGATATTTTACCCTTTGGGATATTATTTAGAATGAGTGATGTTAAAGTAAAAACTAGAACCTAATATTCATCTGTATACAGAGTATAGCATATGTTCATACTCTGCAGATTTAGAGAGTGTTCAATTTTCTTTAAAAAATGTTAATTGTAAAACTTTGTTTTTACATTGCAAAATCCTGTTGGTGATATAATCTATCCAAAACAATAACTTGAATAAAAATTTGACTTGTAGCCAGGTGCAGTGGCTCACGCCTGTAATTCCAGCACTTTAAGAGGCCGAGGAAGGCGGATTTCCTGAGGTCAGGAGCTTGAGACCAGCCTGGCCAACATAGTGAAACCCCATCTCTACTAAAAATACAAAGATTAGCTGGGCATGGTGGCAGGCACCTGTAATCCCAGCTACTCGGGAGGCTGAGGCAGGAGAATCACTTCAACCCGGGAGGCGGAGGTTGCAGCGAGCCGAGATTACGCCATTGCACTTCTGCCTGGGCGACAGAGTGAGACTCCGTCTCAAAAAAAAAAAAATCGACTTGTTTACTCTGCTTTATTTCCTTTTTGATCTAATATATTTTCAATGACTTTTTTTTTAGGTGAGCGGAGAATTAGAGTACATACGCTTTGTTTGCCAGTGGTAAATTCACTAGCAGATGTATATGCAGGAGTGGATGTACAAGCCGCCATCTGCCTTCTGGCAAACATGGGTGAGTAAAAATTGAAGGAACAGGTGAAATATATTTTTCTACCTTAGAAACTGAAGCTTGACCAGGCACGGTCGCTCACACCCGTAATCCCAGCACTTTGGGTGGCCGAGGCTGGCAGATCACAAGGTCAGGAGTGGAGTTTGAGACCAGCCTGGCCAACATGGTGAAACCCGGTCTCTACTAAAAATACAAAAAATTAGCCAGGCATGGTAGTGTGTTTCTGTAATCCCAGCTACTCGGGAGGCTGAGGCAGGAGAATTGCTTGAACCTGGGAGGCGGAAGTTGCAGTGTGCCAAGACCATGCCACTGCACTATAGTCTGGGCAACAGAGCAAGACTGTCTCAAAAAAAAAACCAACCAACCAAACAAAAAAACTGAAATTAGGGTTTTCTCTTATTTAAAAAGTGTAGGCCGGGCGCGGTGGCTCACGCCTATAATCCCAGCACTTTGGGAGGCCGAGGCGGGTGGATCACGAGTTCAAGAGATCGAGACCATCCTGGTCAACAAGGTGAAACCCCGTCTCTACTAAAAATACAAAAATTAGCTGGGCATGATGGTGCGTGCCTGTAGTCCCAGCTACTCGGGAGGCTGAGGCAGGAGAATTGCCTGAACCCAGGAGGCGGAGGTTGCGGTGAGCCGAGATCGTGCCGTTGCACTCCAGTCTGGGCAACAACAGCAAAACTCCATCTCAAAAAAAAAAAAAAAAAAAAAAAAAAAAAAAAGTGTATAATTCACATTTTTATTTACTGCAAAATTAGTCTTTATATTTCTTTGCTTCTTTCAGAATCTTTGGGGCAATTCATAATCTCTAAAAGTACAGCTAAAAACTGAAATGTCCTTTAAATAATGTATGCAGAAACCATGGTACACGCATACAGTAGAATATAATTCAGTAGTAAAAAGGAATGAGCTATCAATACTTGAACAAACAGCTGCCTCTCAAAGACATTGTGCTGAATGAAAGAAGCTAGACTTGAAAAGTTGCATACGGCCAAGTGCAGTGGCTCACATCTGTAATCCTAGCACTTTGGGAGGCAGAGTTGGGCAGATCACCTGAGGTCAGGAGTTGAGACCAGCCTGGCCAATATGGTGAAACCCCATCTCTACTAAAAATGCAAAAATTAGCCGGGCATGGTGGCAGGCACCAGTAGTCCCGGCTACTCATTGCTTGAACCTGGAAGGTGGAGGTTGCAGTGAGCTGAGATCATGCCATTGCACTCCAGCCTGGGCGACAGAGTGAGACTCCATCTCAAGAAAAATAAAAACAAAAAAACAAAAAAAAAAACTGCATAGGCCAGTTTTGGTGGCTCATGCCTGTAATCCCAGTACTTTGGGAAGCCGGGTCAGGAGTTGGAGACCAGCCTGGCCAACGTGGTAAAACCCTATCTCTACCAAAAATACAAGAAAAAAATTAGCCGAGTGTGGTGCTGCATGCATATAATCCCAACTACTTGGGAAGTTGAGGCAGGAGAATCCCTTGAACCCAGGAGGCGGAAGTTGCAGTGAGCTGAGGACGGACCACTATACTCCTGCCTAAGTGACAGAGCAAGATTTCTGTCTCAAAATAAAATAAAATAAAATAAAAAACTGCCTACAAATGATTTCATTTATATGACATTCAAGAAAAGGGAAAATTATCAAATAAGAGACTTATCAGGGTTGAGGCTGAAGGAGGGTTTAACTGCAAAGGGGCAGTAGAGGGGGATAATTTTGGGGTGATGGAACTATTATGTATCCTGATTGTGGTAGAGATTACATAGCTATGCATTTGGTATATAACCACTATAGAACTGTACTGAAATTAATTTTACTATATGTAAGTCTGAGAAAATCCTTTTGAGAATTAACATAGCACTTAATGTTTTCTTTCTTTTCTTTTTTTTCTTTTTTCTTTTTTTTTTTAAATAAAGGTGGGGTTTCATCATGATGGCCAGGCTGGCCTTAAACTCCTGACCTCAGGTGATCCACCCACATTGGCCTCCCAAAGTGCTAGGATTACAGGTGTGAGCCACTGCGCACGGCCTATTTTTTTTTTTTTTTTAAGACGGAGTTTTGCTCTTATTGCCCAGGCTGGAGTGCAATGGCGAGATTTCGGCTCACTGCAACATCTGCCTGCCGGGTTCAAGCAATTCTCCTGCCTCAGCCTACTGAGTAGCTGGGATTACAGGCATGCACCACCAGGCCTGGCTAATTTTGTATTTTTAGTAGAAACGGGGTTTCTGCATGTTGGTCAGGCTGGTCTTGAACTCCTGGCCTCAGGTGATCCACCCGCCTTGACCTCCCAAAGTGCTGGTATTACAGGCATGAGCCACTGTGCCCAGCCAGCACTTAATGTTTTCAGTGAATTAGCCTTGTAGATGAATTCAGACATGAAACAAGCTTTGCTATTTTCCACGTAATCCTAGAAAAAGATGGTCATTAATACTAATTTGGGGAACATTATAATAGCATTTACTAAAGGATCCAAATTTTTTTAAATAACAGAAGTATTTAATCAGGCTGAGTGTGGTGGCTCATGCCTGTAATCCCAGCACTTTGGGAGGCTGAAGCAGGTGGATCGGATAACTTGCCCACAGGAGTTCAAGACCAGCCTGGTCAATAGGGTGAGACCCTGTCTCTACTAAACATACAAAAATTAGCCAGGCATGGTAGTGCATACCTGTGGTCCCAGCTACTCAGGAGACTGAGGCAGGAGAATCTGTTGAACACAGGATGTGGAGGTTGCAATGAGCTGAGATCCCACCACTGCACTCCAGCTTCAACAAAGGGAGACTCTGTCTCGGAAAAGAAAAAGGATTTAATCAGATTATCTTAAATATTTAACGAAAATCAGAGACCTGTGTATCAGATTTTTTTTTTTTTTTTTTTTGAGACGGAGTTTCGCTCTTGTTACCCAGGCTGGAGTGCAATGGCGCGATCTCGGCTCACCGCAACCTCCGCCTCCTGGGTTCAGGCAATTCTCCTGCCTCAGCCTCCTGAGCAGCTGGGACTACAGGCACGCGCCACCATGCCCAGCTAATTTTTTGTATTTTTAGTAGAGACGGGGTTTCACCATGTTGACCAGGATGGTCTCGATCTCTTGACCTCGTGATCCACCCACCTCGGCCTCCCAAAGTGCTGGGATTACAGGCTTGAGCCACCGCGCCCGGCCCGTATCAGATTTTCAGTGAGCTGAGATCATACCACTGCACTCCAGCTTGGGCAACAGAGAGACTCTGTCTCGGAAAAAAAAAAAAAGAAGGATTTAATCAGATTATTTAAAATATTTAACTAAAATCAGAGACTTGTATATCAGATTTTCTATTTTTAAATTCTAACTTTTGTTTTTGATTCAAGGGGCACATATGTAGGTTCATTGTGATGGTATCAGTTGTACCCCAAACCTCAAGATCCAAATTTTTAAAGTATAATTTTATTTGTAGATTTTGAATTAATTATGCCATAACCAGTTGTTTTTCCAATATAATTTTATTTTTAGTGCTTGGGTGCATATGTGTGTGTGCATATATATATATATATATATATATATATGTTATCCCTATTTTAATAGAATATATTATTGGAGAAAAATAAGTTTCGCATTACCTGTTTCTTCAATGGCTGCATGAAAACCTGTCTTTATTTTTCCCTTTCAAAAAATTTGTTAGTTTAGAATGCTTTACAAAAATTGTAGAGGATCACAAGGTATAACTCAGATTGTAGAATTTACATTGGTTGGGCAGAAAAAATGATACATGTGACTTGGTGTTTGAGTAATGGACACCTTCCCAAGGCTTTTTCAGAAGTAAATGGAAAATATGCATTTCACTAGTATCAATAGTGGCTACATGTTTTTTGGGTTTATTTTGTTTTTAGAAAGGGTCCTGTTCTGTCACCCATGCTGGAGTGCAGTGGTACAATCACAGATCACTGCAGCTTCGACCTCCCAGGCTCAGAAGGGCCTATTTCAGCCTCAATCCTCCTATTTCAGCCTCCCAAATAGCTGGGACTACAGGCACATGCCACCATGCCCAGCTAATTTTTTTTATTTTTTGTAGAGATAAGGTCTCCTGTGTTGCCTAATCTGTTGTTGAACTCCTGGGCTCAAGTGATTCTCCCACCTTGGCCTCCCAAAGTGCTGGGATTACAGGCATGAGCCACCATACCCAGCCTGGCTAAATAGACTTAAGAGCTTAAAACAAAAATGTCCGAAAGAATCTAGATTTGTTCTGATTGTCTGATTTACTTCAGAAAAAAAAATTATATAAGAACACACTTGAAATGAGGGAGCAGATGAAATGCATTTTTCATCCAAAAAACTTAGCTAAATTTTTTTTCTTAAATGATGCAAATAAATTTCCTCCCTTATAGTGCCCATTGGATTCTAATGGTTAAAATATCTTTTATTTTGGTTGCTTTATAGCTGTGGATCGGTCCATTTCATCAAGTCTATCAGATGCACGAGATGCCTTAGTGAATGCTGTAGTGGACTCGTTGTCTGCATATGGCTCAACTGTCTCAAATTTACAGCACTCTGCGTTGATGGCACCCAGCTCCCTCAAGTTGTTTCCTCTCTATGTTTTGGCCCTTCTCAAACAGGTAGCTTTCTATACCCTGCTATCTTTAATAATGTATTTAAAATTCTCAGATATGTATATGAAGAAAGGAAATCTAGATTGTTGTTTTTTAATACTTAACTAGAGGATTATTCACTTTAACATTGAACGAGTTTTGAAAAATAGAAAAAGATCAATGGGGCTGGGCGTGGTGGCTCATGCCTGTAATCCCAGCATTTTGGGAGGCCGAGGCAAGCGGATGGCCTGAGGTCAGGAGTTCGAGACCAGCCTGGCCAACATAGTGAAACCCCATCTCTACTAAAAATACAAAAATTAGCTGGGTGTGGTAGTGTGTGCCTGTAATCCCAGCTACTCAGGAGCCTGAGGCAGGAGAATCGCTTGAACCTAGGAGGTGGAGGTTGCAGTGAGCCAGGATCATGTCACTGCACTCCAGTCTGGGTGACAGAGCGAGACTCCATTTCAAAAAAAAAAAAAAAATCAATGGAAAATGAAGGTATACAAATACATTATGACTTTAGTGAAACCATATTCTCACTTTCTTTAATGTGTGTGAGCAGTTTGCATAATGGTGCAGTCATAGCTCACTCTTAATATGTCCTTCTGGAAAGAGATTCTGTGGACAGAATCTAATACTTATCAAGCATCTTTCTGTGTTTCTGGCACCATAAAAGGTGTCAGTGCTTCATTTTATTTAATCCTTTCAGCAACCTAACACGGTATTATTTTTCCTGTTTTTCTCATGATGACAATGTAGCTCAGAAGAGCTAAGTAACTTGCTCCAGCCTCACAAACCTATTAAATGTCATAGCTGAGAATTGAATCAAGGTCTGTCTGATTTAAAGGCCATGCTTTTTCCATGACTGATAGGGTATAATTGTTTTAATATTCATCCACCATGTTTGTATTTTACTTGAAAATGTTTGTCTTTTTCCTTGTAGAAAGCATTTAGAACGGGTACAAGCACACGCCTGGATGATCGTGTGTATGCCATGTGTCAGATAAAGTCTCAGCCACTTGTTCATCTGATGAAAATGATTCATCCCAACTTATACAGGATAGACAGATTGACAGATGAGGTATGCATTTTAGTGCATTTGAAATTTTTAAATTTGAATATATTTGAGCGTCTTAATTCTATAGCTAAGATGATAATATAGTATCAACTGGTTTTTCTTTTTAACTCTTTTCCCCCTTGTGGTAGTGATACATTAAATAAGGACACTGGCTGTGGATCTGATTAATGGCAGGACTCTCAGATACCATTAGTGGTTTGGAATTTTTAAAAATAGTTTCATATCAGAAGTAATTTATCCTGTAGTTTTGGTTATAATGTGTATTACAAAGCTAATTTGTAGAGTGGACATTTCCATTTATATTTTGTAGATATTGACTGCTTCAATTTTTTTTTTTTTTTTAAAGACAGTCGTCTTCTGTCTACCAAACTGGAGTACAGTGGTGCAATCTCGGCTCACTGCAACCTCTGCCTCCTGGGTTCAAGCAATTCTGCTTCAGCCTCCTGAGTAGCTGGGATTATAGGCACATATTGCCACGCCTGGCTACTTTTTGTATTCTTAGTAGACACAGAGTTTCTTTTTTTTTTTTTTTTTTAATATTTCAAAAGTTTAATCATAAATTAGTAGTTCATGAAGGCCAATAAAAATGGAAACTTCCAAAACTCCAGTAGAAAATGAGCAAGGAACACAGACAGTTTACCAAAGTAAAGTTATAGGTGGCTAAGAAAAAGTTGAAGCTCAAAGAAGCAATGATTAAAATAAGGAGTATTATATTTTGACTAATCAGCAAATAATAATTAATAATATTTAGTTCTGGTAAGTGTGTGTAATTGTTAGAAACTTTTAGAAAAGTCTATTCCCTTTTCCTTTTCATTTTATCCTTTGTTCACTGCACATACCTCTCTCTGAGTTGTTGAATCAGATCTCTTTTCCAGAGTCAGGTGGTATCATTTTACCCTTTATTACTTCATTTTGCATATGGATTATAAAAATTATGATCCCATTAACATAAGAAGGGGATCCCATAATTAAGGCAACAGACGTAGTAACTGCACAATTTACTGCTAGCCCAACATTCACACTAATGATTTGAACTCCAACTGTGTTTTTTTTTTTCTTTCTTTTTTTTTTCTTTTTTTTTTTTTTGAGATGGGGTTTCACCATGATGGCCAGGCTGGTTTTGAACTGCTGACCTCAGGTAATCCACCCACCTCAGCCTCCCAAAGTGCTAGAATTACAGGCGTGAGCCACCGCGCCCGGCTCCAAGACAGAGCTTCACCATGTCGGCCAGGCTGGTCTCACAACTCTTGACCAGGCCAGGCTGATCTCGAACTCTTGACCTCAAGTGATCTTCCCATCTCAGCCTCCCAAAGTGCTAGGTTTACAGGTGTGAGCCACCACACCCAGCCAATATTGACTGCTTCTGATAATATCAGTTGCAGTTTTGATTATATAGTAAACAAAATCTGATATCCAATAATAATTTTAATATGCAAATATATAATGTCTTTTATCTTCCTTGTGTGAAAGCTATATTCTTTGGAATTAGTATTAATTCCAGACATAATGTATGTTGCCAGAGAAATGTAAAAATGTAGCTGGCTATGCAACAGAGTCAGTAGTCACACGTGTAATATATTCTGACCCCACCCTAAAAGGGAAGGGAATGTGACAGATCATTTTATGTATTCATGTTTTTACATTTTAAATTTGAATACAGTTAAGTGTCTTGATTCTACAACCAAGGTGGTAGAATAAAATCAGTTTTTTTTGCATCATACAAAACTCCCAAGTGTTATTTTCCAGTGCTTCATAAAGGGTTAGTGACCATTAGCTCCCAAACTGTGATGATAGCAATGTAATCTTATGCACATTCTGACTTTTTCTTTTCAGGGTGCAATACATGTTAATGACAGGGTTGTACCACAGCCACCTCTTCAAAAATTGTCTGCAGAGAAGCTGACAAGAGAAGGTGCTTTCCTTATGGACTGTGGCTCTGTAAGCAACTTCTTCTGGCAAAGCTTAACACTGAGCTAACAAAAAAAAAGAAATACTTATAGGATCCAGCTGTTATCACAGAAGCAGGCAGTGAAAAGTGAAATTAGGATTAGGAGCTGAAATTGGTAACTGACACTAGAGGTCAATTTACTTAAACTTTTCTATTTGGACTTCATTTTATATTGATGTTATTGATATTTGTATTGATAGTACTGATAGAGTAATATATTTTAATATGTATTGTTTACTGTCATGAATTATATATACTTGATGAAGAGAACTCATGAGGTAAATTCCTGTCTTCAGGGACTTTTCATCTAAAGTCTAGAATTTAAAAGTATTTCAAGAGTTTATCTAGTTCAACTTACATTTATTGTCAGAAATCTCATTAATGATTAGGAGTTCAAGAGAAGTCACTGGTCAGGGGTAGTAGTTGAAGGGTGTCAGAATGGTTAAGATGGCTTCAAAATGATGCCTTTTGAGCAGAAAAAGGATTTGGATAGCTACAGAAGAGGGAGAAATGCATGAGTTAAAATATACAGACAGTAATTGAAATAGTGGTTGGGAAATACTATGAGTTAATTATACTAATTAAAGGATTATACTTATATTGGGAAAATAAGTACAAAAGGTAAAATATATTTTATGGGAAGCCTTAACATTTGATCAAAGAAGATGTGAACCACTCTGGATTCTTAGATATAGATTCACAATGTAACAATTATAGATTTCCTTTTTACTCTTATGTTTGTTCCTACCTTATTTGAGGTGATAATTTTGATAAAATTAACTAAAATGAGTTCTCTTAATTATTAGGGAGTTTTAATATGTTGCTTTTTATTTTTAGGTTTTTTACATTTGGGTTGGGAAAGGCTGTGACAATAACTTCATAGAGAATGTGCTTGGATATCCTAATTTTGCATCAATACCACAGAAAATGGTCAGTAGATTTAATACACCATTAATTTTTTGTTTGCTCCATTTTTATTTTTTAATTGATGTGAAATTCATATAATATTCATGATTTAAAAATGTACAGTTCAGTGTTTTTTAGTATTACACCATGTTTTACAACCATTACCACTGTTTAGTTTCAGAACATTAATATCACCCTAAAATGAATGCTGTATCTCGCAATTCTTCCCCATCCTTGCCCCCAGGCAGCGACTAATCTACTTTGTATCTATGGATTTGCCTATTCTGGATATGTTATATAAATGGCAATATATAGTTTCTGTGTTTGGCTTCTTTCACTTTCTGTAATGTTTTTAAGATTCATTCATGTTGTAGCTTGTATTAGTTCTTTTTCTTGTTTGTTTGTTTTTCTAAACAGGATCTTGCCCTGTCACCCAGACTGTGTAGTACAGTGGGTCAATAATGGCTCACTACAGCCTTGACCTCCTATGCTTAAGTGGTCCTCTCACTTCAGCCTCCTGAGTAGCTGGGACCACAGGAGTATGCCACCACATTAGGCTAATTATTTTTTTGTAGAGATGGGGTATCCCTGTGTTGCCCAGGCTGGTCTCGAACTCCTGGACTCAAGCAGTCCTCCTACCTTGGCGTACCAGAGTGCCGGGATTACAGGCGTCCCTGGCCAGTTTGTTCTTTTTTATGACTAAAAAAGAGTCCATTGTATGGACATACCACATTTTGATCATCCATTCATCCACTGATGGATATTCCAGTTGTTTCTACTTTGGGGCTATTGTGAATAGTGCTATGATGAATGCTTGTGTACAAGTCTTTGTGTAAACATATGTTTTCAGTTCTCTTGGGCACATTACTAGGAGTATAATTACTGGGTCACATAACTCTATGTTTAACTGCCAAACTGTTTTTCAACAACTTTAACTTTGGATTTAAATTGTTTTGGTAATACTAAACATAATTTTTTCAGTAGGATTTTACTGAATGTATGTTAACCAATACCAAGGAAATATGATTCTGAAAACAAATTTGTATATTAACTGGAAGGGAAGGCTGACCTACTTTATTGTGTTAGATACTATAAATATGTCCTTTTTCCTGAAATTAATATAAATTCAGTGTAATCCTTATTACAATCTCTCGTTTTTTTTAAATGTTGACAAATTATCCAAAAGTTCATTGTTAAAACTCAACAAATGGCCGGGCGCGGTGGCTCAAGCCTGTAATCCCAGCACTTTGGGAGGCCGAGGCGGGTGGATCACGAGGTCAAGAGATCGAGACCATCCTGGTCAACATGGTGAAACCCCGTCTCTACTAAAAAAAAAAAATACAAAAAATTAGCTGGGCATAGTGGCACGTGTCTGTAATCCTAGCTACTCAGGAAGTTGAGGCAGGAGAATTGCCTGAACCCAGGAGACGGAGGTTGCGGTGAGCCGAGATCGCGCCATTGCACTCCAGCCTGGGTAACAAG